CCCCCCCCCCCCCGCAAAATGTCGCATTTCGACATGTGCGGCCGTCTGCTGACGAACAGCGAGTGGAGCAGTTTTTGGTGGGAGCTCGCCTGGGGCTCGATGGAGCTTCTGAAGCACGGATTCATGACGTCGCCCGCGCTCTACGTCGACAACAACGAGGAAAAGACGTTTCGACTCGAGCTCCACCGAAGTCTCGCCGTGGACGCCGTCAATCCTCAAGCGGGCCGACCCTGCGTGCGTTTGATCTTGGCCTACCTGAATCGAGCCTCGTTGCCCTGCAGCTACAACGTGTCGATAGTGAAGGACAACAAAGTCATCGACGTCCAACAGGACGATTGCTCGTTCGCTCCGAGCAACAGCGAGAGGCAAATTTTCAACATCTGCCCGAACCTGCTTCGCACCTACGTTTCGTCGACGGATATCTTAACCATCAACTGCCAATTCAAATTTCCTCCGAGCATCGAGGAGAGCTCCTCCTCCAAGCCCGACGTCGCCGTGCCGACGTTCAACTTCGATTGGATATTTCTGAACGAAAATCTGAGCGACGTCACGCTCAGAACCGCGTCGGGAATAAAGATCCCGGCGCACAGGGTGGTGCTCGCCGCGGCCAGTCCGGTATTCCGTGCCATGTTCAGCCACGACATGATGGAGAACCAGAGCCAATCGGTCGACATGGCCGACATCGGTTACGAGGCAGCCGTAGAGATGCTGCAGTACATCTACACGGGCAGCGTCAAGACTCAGGAATTTTCCCTGACGGCCAAAGTGTTGGCTGCGGCGGAAAAGTACCAGCTGGAAAAATTGAAGAGCGAGTGCGAAAGGATCTTGGTGGCCAATTTGACGACCGAAAATGCCATCGAGGCTCTCAAGATAGCCGATACGTTCGGCACGAGTCATTTGAAGAGAGAAGCCGTGGATTTCGTTAGACGCAAGATAAACGGAAAGTTGCAGTTGGATGAAATAAGCGATATGCTTATCAATAAAGCGAAATTACATCCGAAATGATTTTAAAACCTGTATCGATGATGTTACAATTTTCCATTATAATTTGATTATGTTTGTTTGTAATTTTAACTTGAATATTGTTTGTTATTTTTGTACTGAAAATAAAGATTCGTGGTTAAAATTTACTTTATTCGTCCGTTCAAATATTTAATTCATAGCAATATATTTTAAAGCAAAAATCCAGTCCGACAAAATATACTCCATTCTTCTTTTCATAATACATTTGTAAACTCATTTCAGGCTTTAATGTTTCATTACGCTCCAAATCCTATATTTTCAATGATATTCTATCGACAATGGTTTTTTTAAGACCATCTCGAATGGAATATACTGAGAAATTTTATGAATATTTTATTTCAAATCGAGGCTCCCAAGTCCCAACTCGCTTAGCAGAAGATTGCTTGAAACAAAGGGCAATTTTGATCTCTGTTTTAAACGTTCAGTTGTTTGTAAACACGAGTTTTGACTACTAGAATGTCGTCAGTCGTAGTCAAGGCATCGGCCAAGCCACATATCTTTGCTCAACAGTCGTGATAAAAGTCTCGAGCAACTTGAAAAATCACCAAATTGTTTCGAAATTATTTACGCAAAATGTCGAGTGACAATACATACTTTACGTCGATTGATAAAGAACGCTACAATTTTAAGTGGGTAATAAGTGATTATGCGTTGATGTTTACAAAAGTAACTGGAATAGAATCGCACATTTTTACTGTCGGTAACGACAAAAAGTTTCAATTGAAATTGAGCAACAACACTTTTCGAGATGCTCAAGGATACTCTAAAACCACCAGATGTTTGTCTCTACACGCCCTGGAAATGGCGGGACAATTAATAATGAAATACAAGCTATCAATGATCAAGGATGAAAAAATTTTGGATACTAAAGTTGGTCATTCGCCATGTCTGAAAGGTATGGAGATACAAATCTTAAACGTGCAAATAGAAGAAATGAAGAAGTTCGTTTCATCCACGGATACCATAACTTTTCACTTCGAATTAACAGTCTCCAAGGGGAATATAACGAACTCCCTGAATTGTGAAAATGCCAAAATGAATCAAGATTTTAAACTTAAATTCGACTGGATATTTCTTGAAGAAGAATTGAGTGATGTCAAACTACAAACTGCATCTAAACAGGAAATTCCAGCCCATAAGGTCGTGCTCGCCGCCGCAAGTAAAGTATTCAAAGGTTTGATTGAAAACAATTCGATTCAATTGATTGATATGAAGGATGTTAATTACGAGGTCGCAGTTGAGATGCTGTATTACATCTATACTGGTAGGATAGAAGAACACAAAATTTCCTTAACTGGTATGATTGATCTTCTAGTAGCAGCCGACAAGTATAAAATAGAGGAGTTGAAAGTTGAGTGCGAGAAAATATTGAGCGCCAAGATAGCCTCTGAAAATGCTGTGGATATTTTAAAGGTCGCCGACCAATGTCGCATGAAACGTTTGAAGAAAAACGCAGTTGATTTTATAAAGCGGCATATCAACGCATCTTCAGACTCTGAGGATGTAGGTAATATGATTCTCAGTATGGAAAAACTTTTTTCGAAATAATCAAAAATTTGCATGAATATACTTTCTTGTTTCACTATTTTACATTGAAATGTTCTTTGTAACTATTGTATTGAAAATAAACATTATTTATCATTATTCACTCTAAATATCCGTCTCATTATTTAATTCATGACAGTATATAATTGACTTTCATAAATCCATTCATTGTCGGTATGGATAGTCAAAAACGATTTCAATTCAATCTCAATTGCAGCTGTTCATATCCTGACAGGCTCTAGCAGATTCGTGACGTAAAGTGACAAATTAAGTGCTTTAAAAAACTTAGACCAGATATCAGCCCCTTGGCATACTACAATACTACTTGACGCTTCCACCACTAGATGGCGAGTATACCTTTATTTGTAAATCTGCAAGTGGCAAATCATTTGATTTAATATTAGTCTCGTGCTAAAATTTTCATTACATACAACTTTTACTTTCGGGACACACAGTCAGTTCCAAGAAAATTTTTCGTCGGACAAAAACTAGCCATAAAGTGACGATCGTTTTTTACCTGGGCAGAGAACAATTTTAACCCGATGAAAGATACGAATCGTGCGAATTTCACGCTCAATCTTAGATCGGTCATTGAAAAGTCATACTTCTTCAATTTTTCTCTCGTTTCGTTTTATTTCGATTCGATTTTTTCTTCGTCCATCGCGACTGAATTTCGACGCGTCGTTAATTAACTCTAGGCATACGACGCAGACAGGCAGACAGCGCGCAGCAACATCGGGCGCGTCTTTAATCAGTGTTCTCGAAGTATATACACCTAAACTTGGGTCGTATATAGTAATAGATATAATACACGTAAGAGCTTTTTCACGCGCGATATTAGTTCAAGACTCAGCCGCACTACTACGCTTCTAAGAGAGAGAGGATCTCTCCAGAGACGCGACGCAAATTAATTTCTGCGTGTGACCTCTGCTACTGCGTATATCCGAGGGATCGTAAAACTCGTGTCGTAGGAGGCGAACTAAATATTATCATTAATTAATACGTATGGACCGACGAGCGAACGATTGTTGTGAAGGATAATCGATGCAAATGATGATTAAAGTACGTTAATCAGCGTTACGATAAAGACAAAGGCGTATATCGACACGCTCGTGTACACTTGGCGCACCGCTAATTCGATGGCTCAAGGTTAAGAAAAAAAATAGTTCTCGAGAAAGAAGGAAAAAGCGACGCGAACGCGATATAACGAAAAAAGTTGATTCTTGCTATATACTTTCCAGGATATAGGTACGCAAGTTGGTCGTCGCGCGCAAAAAAACGATCTTTCTAGTTAAAAATCCGGGCGAGACGTGATTTAAAGTGTACCACTCGGCGGCAGCAGCGGTAGCCGCTAGGTCTTATAAGTCATTAGAGCTATATACAGCCGCGCGAAGGGTAATTAGTCCCAAGTAGCTATAAAAACAAATGAGTTTAAAACTGCAATATAATATCCCGCGGGTATACCGCACAATAAAAGATACTGCATACTCGGGGCGCGCACAAGGAGGAAGGGCCGAAGGGCACGAAGGAGAGTCCGTACTATTTCTCGCGCGCAGAACGAAAATCCTCCACTCTCTCTCTCTCTCTCTCTGCTTTGGCAAATTACTGTTTTCCTTGCCATTTAGCATTTGCGGTAATAAGTTCCGAGTCGTAAAATGCGAAATGTCCCTTTTGAAAGTTTAAATAACGAACGCCTCGCGCACTTCTTCTTCGGCTGTATACGTATATAGTTTTGACTGAAACTCGGGTACGCACGCGTAGGGTCACGGAGGAAAACTAGCAAGGGTGAGAGAGAGACGCGGGAATGATCGACGAGTTCGAGATCGCGCATACATTAGCCCTGGGTACTGCTGTATTACGGGCCGAAATCTCTCGCCAAGATTTAGTGGTCCCTTTGGCCACGATGCTGTATAGCAGCAGCAAGCTTCTCATCGCGACGATACGTGTATTATATATATATGCGCTTACACGCACAAACCCCTCGCTCGAACTGGACACGATCGTAAAAGTTGGCAACAAAATGACTCGCCGCCCGAGGGTGGTGAGCCGATGCAGCAGCACTTTGCAAATTTGGCGCGAGCTATGTGCAATTTCGATTTTTTTTTTTTTTTCGTTGTTGTTCGTTAGTGAATAAATCCGCCGAGTTTATAATACGGATTATAAACGACAGGACGATAAACCAGAGTGCGCGTGTGATACACTCTCGACAAATACGCACGTGTGTGCGGCAGCTCGAAAATATAATAATCTCGAGTCGAGAGATTTACGTAGTGGTAGTAGTAGTAGTTTCGAGGCTCGAACTAGTAGTAGTACGGAGTTTTAGGTGCGGCAAAACGAAACGAATAAGTAAATTATGTATATAAAACGCACGTGTCGCGCGCGCGCCGACTCGCACGTGAAGAAGCTCTACTACTTGTCAGCACACGCACACACATACTATAATATAAGGTACTCTCTTTCTCTCTCTCTATATGATATTTCTGGCGCATCCTTTACCACGCATACGTAAACAGCCGAAAAAATATCCCTTTTTCTGCCACACAGTCAAACTGTGTGTGTGTGTGCAGCATATTGCACGCGAGAGGATATGTATTCACGTACGTGACGGTAAGAAACGCGATTCTATAAAAGAGAATCTCGCTCTCGAAATGAAACGAAAGAAAAGCTCTCGACTCTTACGAGCTTTCATACCTAAGCCCGCTGTGATTTCTCGCATTTTTTTATATAACCGGCCGAATTAAATGAGCAGCTAGCGCAGTGGAAAAGGCAAGCGCAGAGACTGTGTGTGAGTATCGAGTTTATTATGTACGCACTGAGAAAAAGTTTCACCCTTGGCTCAAGGAGACTAGTTCTGTTGGAATAGCAAAAACGAGTTCACCTTGGATAAGTGAAATTTCTCCTTGGTGGCAGGGAGAATCGTCACTCGCCAATGAGTAGTTGTGCACGCGGATAATCGATAAGTATCAACTTGCATTTGTAAAAATCAATTTTTTATCAGACGAATTCAAACGCATTGGCTAACGACCGATGAACAGTTTCAAAGTTACGAGAAAGCAGCGCTGGACCGCAGCAATGATCGTAGCATTGAAAGATTATTCACGCACACGCACCCGCGCGAAACTACTTGTAACTCTCTACGTTCCTGCAAAAGCAGGCGTCGATTAAAAAAGTGACGCCCCCACTCAAACTTCCATTTTTGCTGTTCACATTATTCTAATACAATTAATGAGAGCTTTTACTAATAACGGAAAAATTTAGTTAACATTTTTTGGTTTTTAAATTAAACTTTTTAAGAGGTTTCCACTGTGGCTTTTTTTTTAGATGGAACACATTGGTCTTATAGATCACGTTTATCATAAATTTAAAAGTCTATTGAATTCTCGCCCCATTCAAAGCTCCAAACAAGACGCCAAAAAACTCTGGATTGATCATGGCACGAAGACAACGATGAAATTACATATGAACGTCTGAGGTTCAGGTAATATCTATACAATTATCATATGAGCACAATTTTTATTAAAATTTTAGAAAACATGTGTATGAGAATCTATAAATATTTACAATTGTCAACTATCATTTTTTCTTGTATTTGTCTATAGCAAAATCTTTGCGACTTTCATGGACCTTCCTTTGATGTAAGAGCAGAGACTGCTTATGTCCAAATTTTTTCTCGCACTCTTCGCAAGCGTAATCTTTGCGACCTTCATGGACTGTCCTTTGGTGGACAAGCAAATCATGTTTCAGTCCAAATTTCTTCTCGCACATGTCGCATGCGTAATCTTTACTATTCCCGTGGACAATTTTTTGATGTTTCGTCAAATTACCTCGTTCCCCAAATTTCTTGTCGCACTTTTCACATACAAAGTCTTTATAGCCTTCATGGACTGTCCTTCGGTGTATAGTCAATTTCGATTTTTCTCCAAATTGTCTCTCGCACTTGTCACAAGAGTAATCATTGCTACCTTCATGGATTGTTTTTTGGTGAACGAGCAAATACCATTTGTGTCTGAATTTCTTCTCGCATTTATCACACGCGAAATCTTTTCGACCCTCGTGGACCGTCTTTTGATGGATTAGCAATTGCTGTTTATGTCCAAATTTTTTTTCACAGCTGTCACATGCAAAATCTTTACGATCCGCGTGGACTACTTTTTGATGTTTCATCAAATTACCTCGTTCCCCAAATTTCTTGTCGCACTCTTCACATACAAAGTCTTTATAGCCTTCATGGACTGTCCTTCGGTGTATAGTCAATTTCGATTTTTCTCCAAATCGTCTCTCGCACTTGTCACAAGAGTAATCTTTCCTACCTTCATGGATTGTTTTTTGGTGAACGAGCAAATACCATTTGTGTCTGAATTTCTTCTCGCACCTATCGCATGTGTAATCTTTGCGACCTTCGTGTACTGTCTTCTGGTGCCTAATGAAATGTATTTTTTGTCCAAATTTCTGCTCGCACTTGTCGCATGCGTAATCTTTTCGACCTTCATGGACGGTTTTTTGGTGTCGAAACAATTTAGATTTGTCTCCAAATTTCTGCTTACAATTGGTGCATGCGAAATCTTTGCGACCTTCGTGGACTGTATTTTGGTGCCTTATCAAATATGAATTTTTTCCAAATTTTTTCTCGCACTTATCGCATTCGTAATCTTTTCGACCCTCGTGGACGAATCTTTGGTGCTTCAGCATATCTGATTTATATGCAAATTTGCTCCCACAATTGTCACAAGCAAAATCTTTTTCGCGACCTTCGTGGACTGTCTTTTGGTGCCTTGTCAAATCTGAATTTTTTCCAAATTTCTTCTCACACTTGTCGCATGCAAAATCTTTGCGATTATCGTGTACTGTATTTTGGTGCCTTGTCAAATCTGAATTTTTTCCAAATTTCTTCTCACACTTGTCGCATGCAAAATCTTTGCGATTATCGTGTACTGTATTTTGGTGCCTTGACAAATCTGATTTTAGTCTAAATTTCTTCTCGCATTTTTCGCATACAAAATCTTTCTGACCTTCGTGGTCTGTCTTTAGGTGGTTGAGAAAATCTGATTTTAATCCAAATTTCCTCCCGCAATTGTCACATAAGTAGTCTTTGAAG